GGGGGGGGGGGGGGGGGGGGGGGGGGGGGGGGGGGGGGGGCTTCACTTTTATTTAATATTTAAAATTTATTTTAATGTGCCTTTCAAAGGAAATGCATATTAAAATATGCACACGATGTACATGTATTTATTTATTATTGAAAAATGTTCACATTTCTTCTCAGTCGAGTGCTGATTACTGGTCAAATCTCGTTACGACGAACTCCAAGGGGTGTCCAGATTATTTCGTTGCGCTGAAATTTCGTTCTATCGAATATTGCTCGAAATAAGTTCAAAAGAAACATTCTCTATTCAAATTAGCTATGCCTTCCGACGTACAGACCACAAATGCAGTTATTTTCCTCTTTATTTTGTTTGGAGAAAATCTGCAATTTCGGATTCCATAGAGTTTGTGTTGTCTCGTCAAATGTCACCGTAGAGCCGCTTTCCACGCCTTTTCTTCAGTTTTGGCAGGATCCTTCGAGAACGTGGATAACGTAGAGGGAGTGATGCCGAATTCTTTTGCCACGTCTCCATTTTTCCTGCCGGAATCTGCTGCTTCCACTACCGTCATTTTTTTTCCGACGAAAACTGTCGGCGTTTCTTGTTTCCCTTGTTGGCCATTTTTGCCACAAGCGTGGGAAACAGAGAATTCTGACTCAAGGTCCAAAGGAGGGGCTGTCGTCCCTTCGTAAACGATCAAGTGTTTGATATTTTTTTGTTATAACGAGTGACTATTGTACAGTTCTTACAAGGACTGGAAAAAAAGCGTTCGTTGCACTGAATTATTCGTAGTAACGAATTTCGTTGTAACGTCTACAAAGTACTATTAGTGTGGGCCATCGGCCAGGGCTTGGAAAAATTTTCGTTGTAACGGAATTCGTCGTAACGAGATTTGACCTGTATTAGATATTAGTAGATTTAAGCAGAGTAGCGGGATCGAGTACTCAAGGGAGAGGGGGGGCTCCGATTTCATCATTCGTATAGCCAGAAGCAGCCTGACCGTTTCTATTCAATTTGGTTACCGACCATCCGATCGCGAACTGTGGCCCAGTGCTTGGGCCGCGGCGATGCCTTGGCTTTTGAACGTGAACGGAGCAGCCGGTTTACGCGATGGAGAAACCGAGTCGGTGAATCACGGGGAGATTGCTCGGGTGGCACTGAAGCGGAGGAAAGTAGCGGAAGCAAAAAAAGTATGTCTAGTACAAAATCCTGGTGCTTCACGGGTATGATGTGTGCGCATGCGTTCAATTTAATGCCCCGCAGGAAAAATTTCTCGAACAAGCATGAATGCATAAAAAAATATATCCAGTTCCGATGATGGCAAAAAATATATGAAGACATACCGTTGCCATTGCACGAAAAATTTTTTTTTTGTGAAATCACGCTCAATTACGACAAGGTTGCAGGCTCGTCATACCGAAATCCGAGAAACAGAAATTATTCTTCATTCAAAATCACGCTGCAGTGAAGCCGACCCGTCGTGATCTCAACCGATTTCGTGTCGGTCCGAACAGGTCTGGTTCCAGAACAGACGGGCCAAGTACCGGAAGCAAGAGAAGCAGCTGCAGAAGGCGTTCGCGCCGTCGGTCATTCCGCAGTGCAATTCGGCGGCGGCCGTGATGAGGAACATTTACCCGACGGGGGCGAGGGGGGGGTATCAGCCGTATCCGGGTCCGGGGACATTCAACACCATCAACAGCATGAATCGATATTCGCAGGTGAGGGGGCGGGGGAGGGGCGGGGGGGAGGGGGAGGAATTTTCGGACCGGTTCTGATTTTTCTTTTCCTTTCAGGATATGTTTCAGATGTCGGCGTCTTCGTACAACGCGATGGCTCAGCCCTTCGGCATGGGGCCGTCGACGGGGAACATCGGGAATATGGCGACCATGCGGCAAGATTCCATGGGTGAGTCCATCGAGATCGGGAATCCTCTCTCTCTCTCTCTCCTCCCGATCCCTGCTGACGTGCTGAATTTTCCCCGCAGTTCCGATGGGGGAAGAGGACTGGTACAACAAAAGCCTGTCGGCCCTGCGGATGAACACGTCGAATTCCCACTCCAATCTTCCGTCTCCGATGCTTCAATATCAGACGTAAAAGGCGCGTGATGAGTCTCTCATCTGAGTGCAATACACGGCAAGACGACCCCTTCAGCCAATATCTTCCGACTCTAAAAGATCTCTCATAACGGCTTCCGCTATCTATGGATTGCTCGTGGAAGCGCTGCTTCCGCATCTTCATGCTAGATGTCGCTGTCGACTCGAGTCGACGATATATTTCCCTGGTTTGGATTCTCATAACTCCGTTTTGTATAGGAGATCTCATTATCATAATAAACTCATATCGTCTGACTGATTGGGCATTCGAACGTCGATCTATTCGCATGACACAATGGAATGACTGTCCGGCGCCACAAATCGTTGTCGACGGGTTGATACTTGATCACCCGCCTAATGGCGAATGGCTTGAGTCACAAACTGAGTCATTCGCCTCGTTTGCATGAGGTTTGATGAAGCACGTTGTTTACGTGTCCGCGTCGAAAGAAATGGAGGAGGCAGCCTATTGACAACTGCCAAGCAAAGGAAACTGGTGCCAGATTGTGGTGGCGTGATACCTTCATCACGTGTTTGGAACGTGGCCAATAGTTTCGGATGACACTGCGCCGAGAAAATCGAGCCTCATTAACTTCAATATGCCGTGATTTTCCTTTATGCAAGACTGCTGGACCATAGACTGTAGTCTGGACAGAGTAGCAGAGAATGAAATGTAATTTCAAACCTTCAGAAGAAATATGTTCTCCAGAATGCATAAATGTGAATTAATTTGGCACCATGCTCGTAATTGGAAAGTTCAACATGGAAAAGTGGATTGTGAATCACGGGAATGGAAACACGTCGTAGTCCTTCAGATTATACGACGTATCGGCCGAACAACGACAAAGGGTGCGACGGAGATGGTAGTCCCAAGACCTTGTGGAGACGAGGCCGTTGATGCCATCTTGTGATGAGACTGGAAACTAGAGGGAACATGACGTCATCCTCTATGCTTGTGTGGACCACTCTGGAGTGCAGAGTGAGGTGGAAGTGTGGCTAGGCGTGAATAACGGACGAGGGCTTTCGTGTTCTCTGGAGGCGTAGCGTTAGGCCTTTGATTAGCATACCGATAGACATCAAGATTTTGATTTTGGCCTAACGTTTGTATGCCTAAAATAACGCAAGCTCTAGCGAATTGTTATAGAACCAGCCTAGCCTGAACGCTAACGTTAGATACATAGTTAGCTCTCCTAACGTTAAGCCATAGGCAGGTCATCTCACTCATCGCTACGAAGATCGACCGAGTGCTGGGCATGTGGTAGGCATTGGCAGCATGCATTATCAAAGGAACATTTCCTGAATCCATTATAGTTAGGCCGTATGTTTTTTACTAAATTAGGTCAAGTCAGCCCCAATCGTCATATCCTCGAAACGATTGATAAGCCTACTTCATTGAGGCTTCGTCCAAATAGACAGGCATAGGCTGACGGGAACTGTATCCCACATAGACCTGCATCAATTTATCACTATCTGATTCAAAATGATGATGGTGTTATCTGTACTTCATGCCTAATATTTGAGAAATTTGGCTCTAATTAGACATCTTCTAAGCTTCCTAAGACTGTAGGAATCTCTAAATTCCTCGAGGGCAAAACTTTTGGTTGAGATTGTTCAATGGACAAAATTCTTTAGGCCAGGGATGAATGACATGATGACCTTTGTTTCTCCTTGATATGAAGTTCAGTAAAGTTATGCTTCTGTCATGTGATCTTTGCTTTGTTTAATCTACTACTGTGGCCTTCAGACTTTTGTCTTCTGAACCATGATGAACACTCAAAGGATTCCTGGGGATCAGACAGATTTTTATCCTTTGCGAATTTAGCTCTGCCTAATCAGGTCTAGTATAAGTGGTATTAGTTCATTTAGTGAAGACCAGAGGTACTTGGACTCCACCATGCAAACACTAACCAAATGTGTAAGCCAAGGAATACCCTCAGTTTGGCCTGTTTCACTCTCTTCCTTCCATTCATCTCCCTGATCCTATTTGACCAAGGCCACTAATGTAATCAAGGAATGACTTGGGATATTTGGTATATAGCTGAATGAAGTTTTTCAACAGGAGTGTTTATTAAATTCTGTTAATGGAAATAGAATAGGTGGCATTTTTCATGGAAGGCCCCACTTTGTTGCATCTTTGATAAAAATAATATGCACATTCTAAAATGTAGTATTAATTTATTTGCAAATCATAGAGTTGTGAATGAAATAAATTTAATATCACTTGCTAAAGGAAAACCCAGGCATGACCTGATTGCTTCAACCTTCCATTGTGATGTTCAGGTTACCATAGGCAAGCCCTGAGGGGCATGCAAACTCACTTGTAATTTAATTATTCTTTCTTCTGTCATTTTTCAGATTTGTAGAACCCTGTGTAACCTCAAATAGCATTTCACAATGTCTACAATGAATCCAGAATAGTAAGTGAAATTTCAGCCTTACTTAGAAGTGTGCCAATTAATCACAATTGGAATTGATTGACTATCACATTGAATGCTTGTTTCCAGTGACTATCTGTTCAAACTGCTACTGATTGGGGATTCTGGTGTGGGAAAATCCTGTCTGCTTCTCAGATTTGCTGTAAGTTTAATCTTGATTTCCCAAAAACGAAAAAGTTCTTTTGATGAATTCCTATGACTGATTTCTTCTTCTAGGATGACACATACACAGAGAGTTACATCAGCACTATAGGAGTTGATTTTGTAAGTACAAGAATTCATTTTTGTCTTGTTCATATTCTCATGTCCTCTAGTCCTGAAATCATCATTTAATGACACTTCTTGCTTTGGTTTATGAGATTCATGTTGAAAATCTGCTGCTTCATCATCTCTTCCAGAAAATCCGTACCATTGACCTAGATGGGAAGACAGTTAAACTCCAGATTGTAAGTTTCCGAGTGATTTCCAGTAATGCCTCTCTCGTGTTTTCTGCTTCAATGCATACATCTTGTTCAGAAACAGTCTCATATCTCACTTTGTGTGGGTTGATATATTGGAATTATTAACTCAGGATTGCTCTTACATAGTGGGATACTGCAGGACAAGAAAGATTCAGAACCATCACCTCCAGCTATTACCGGGGTGCCCATGGCATCATCATTGTCTACGATTGTACCGATCAAGAGTCCTTTGCTAATGTCAGACAGTGGTTGCAGGAGATTGAGCGTTATGCAAGTGAGAATGTCAACAAACTCCTTGTTGGGAACAAATGTGACCTCACTTCAAAGAAGGTCGTCGATTACACAACAGCGAAGGTGTGCATTTCTCGTCTATTGTTTCAGGATTATCTTTCTTGAAGTTCAGTATCATATTATTTGTTTTCAAATCATGGTTTCCATGCAGGAGTTTGCTGACCAGCTCAACATCCCATTCTTGGAAACATCGGCCAAAAATGCCACAAATGTGGAGCAGGCTTTCATGACTATGGCTGCAGAAATCAAGAACCGGATGGGTGAGAGTGAAACGGCCGGCCATGACCACGGAAAAGTGAAAATTGACTCAGCTTCTCCAGTTGATGGCGGGAGCAAAGGAGGTTGTTGTTGAGGAAAGGGAATGGGGTCAAATTTCAAATGCCGTGAGTTTTGTCTTGTTTTCTGAAATTGTAGTGCTGCATATTTAAAAATAATTACATTAAAAACTTTTATATACTTTTTCAGGTACCTTTCTGTGTCTGGGTGCCTGGATTCTCAAATCATGATTAATGTATGGGTCAACAGAAGCATGTGGGCCTCCCAAAGGCAACACTCCATTCACTGTATAAGTTTATATGAAATTTTTAGTTCTCAATATCAGTTTGTCTTTTTGCCCTTCTGCTGAATCCAAAGATGCTGATTGAGGTGTCCCAGTGATTCCTTGGTTTTTGGTTATTCATTGGTCATTGGTAAAGGCATCTTAAGTATTCAGGGAATTCTAGGATACATGGTTTGTCTTACATATAAGCTTTCAATATTGTCCAGCATTGTTGCAGCTCTTCAATGTACCCCTTCTCATTGCTTTCACTTGCAACCGGTTTTGTGAAAAAGTCAGAAAAGACGGATTTAAGGTGATGAAGCTGTAGCAATGCTTGAACTGAAAGAGTCTTCTATATGCACACTCTTGGTTCATCAAGGAAATAATATAGGCCCTAAAGAAGTTTTATCATCATTATTTATTTTCTCTTTGGGAACGGCACTTCAGCAGCAATGTGATCTGTAGTTTCAATCAGTTTCCCCCTTGGCTTGAATATTTGGTATTGTAGCCTTTGTGAGTGGATGAATGAACTTGGCCCTTATGTGATGTTTATGCTCCACAGTATCCTATCCTTTCACATATGCTGTTTGCAATCACATTCACACTTTCAGTTTTTTTCTAAAGGAAAATGTAATTCCCTGCCATATTCATTGCCTGCTTCACAGTTTCCTTCCACCTTGAATCGTGCAGGCCAAGGCCTATTGAAGAAATGGCTGATGTAACAAAGGGAGGCATTGCTATGTCTCTGGGGGAGCTTCCTTTTTTTTCTTCAAATTCAGCTCTGCACCTTATACAGTGATTTAATGATAAACTTGTACTACCTTTGTAATGGGCCGTGTTAAGTGTATGGCCTTTGATTTGGGGTGACCAATTGACTAAACTGTGACCCATGCTTGAGGTTGTATGATGTGTAAGTTAGATCACTGTATTTGTGCAAAATTCTGTTCCTGGCAGTCAAACAGAATCTTGCTCTTGGACCATCCTCAATGAGAAATTTAATCTTTGCTTAGAATCCATCCAGGATGTTTTTCTTTTTTTCTTGCCCAGATTGGAAACCCCATATGCTGAGTGATTGATCGATTTTAAAGTGTAGCTGATCGCCATTCCAGCCTGTTTTCAAGCAAGGCCTATGATTATGGAGGAAATAAATAAGTTTGAATATTGTAAAAGAGGCTTCTTATTTGCTGTGTTGTAATGCATTTGATTGCTAATTCAAAAAAAAATATCTGACCATGGCCTAATTGTTTTCTATTGATTACATTGATCAATTCTCACTTGCATTGGGATCTTTATGATGAGATCCATCTGCATTATGGTGAAGTCTCAAAAACTTGGTGAAGAACAACTCATGCAGTTGAATTTATTGTTTTTGTGGTCATGTGAGTGCTGGCAGTGTCACATCTCAGTGACATGGAATGACCTCATTCCCAATCATGCCTTGCATTGAGATATATTGAATCATTGGTGGGAGAAAAGCTAATATATCAACATTGGTTGGAGAAGAGTAGAGTCATACTCAAATGTAGCTCTTCTACCATTCTCTCTAAGGTGGTGAAACTTTTATTGTGATATCCTGAATCCTTGTGTAGACAGTAGACTGTCAAAGGCTTAAAGGGTATCAGATGAGTGTTACTACAGGCTATGGAGTGAATGATTGCAAGGGGAGTCAACTTGTGCCTTCCCCCTTTCTTTCCTTCCCTTTTATGGCTCTGTCCTCACATCCCTCATGGGTAGTCTCTTTGAAGGGTAACGAAATTAGGCATTTTTCCATCAAATCAGTTGACAGGTGCTAATCCACTTCAATAGAGGTCGTCCGGATGCGTCCTTGCTGCACAAGGGTTCAGGATATGGACTATTACAATTGCTGTGAATATTGCAAAAGAGCTCAATAGTGCTACTAATTGAAGTATACCAAAAGGATACTGTTTGAATTTGAGTTAGTTTCCTTGTTATTTTTGTTTATCTATAATGAGACTTTCCCAGTGAGCATGGAGGATGCTTGTTGAGTTCACCAAGGAGTGTCAACAGTAGTTATTCATGGAGTACATCCCATCCATAAATACCAGTTATAAATAACAGAAGTCTGGATGAAAGGAATGTGTTATTCTGCTGTCTGCAGTTTCCTTTTTTATTTACAGATTAATACCCATGATAAAAGGCTTGTTAATGAAAGCTGAAAATGTCAGTGAATGTGAATGGCAGTGAAGTTGATTGAGGGCAGTAATTATTTACCCATTTGAAGACATGAAAGTTTTTCCTCCCCTTCATGGGTTATAACTCTGATTATAGCTGCTCTGCTGGGAGTTGTGATATTAATGTCAGGTGGTTCATCACAGAATTCTCTGCTTCCCCCAAAATTAAAATTTAATTTAAATGTGAACTGATGAAGACCTGCTTTGGACTGGTTGGAGAAACTCAATTGCTAAATTGTTAAAACATAAAATATGGAGAATCATGAAGTCCTCATTTCCTGTGACAGACAAGAGCATTTATGTTTTTGAGTTGTATTTAGCTAAGTTTTAGGAATTCAACTACAGTAGCTCTTGTCCTGCCTATATACTTTGAGTTACATATCTCAAATGAAACAGAAGGCCCATGAGTGGACCAGGTCTAAAATAAATTGGTGAGCAAACAAGGGAATTGCAAACATTGGAACACCTTTTTCATGCTAAGAAAGGCATCTGTGGATTTTTTAATTTGAAATGAATCACTATTTTTCAGAGGCAATTGGTTCCACACTCAAGTGTGCTACAAATTTTTTTTTGGTTTTCAGCATGTGTTAGTATATCATTGTAACTATTTGTTTTTTTTTTAGGTTTTTCTTCAAGTGGAAGTTCAGATCTGGTTGATGTGAGTGGAGGAGTTCTCAGAAAATGAAGACAAGGTGAAGATGTTTGCTCAATATATCAATGAATTGTCCCAGGTGAGACATTTTAAAGTCTGTTGTGTGGTCTATGCTGCCAGAAATTCAGTAGCTGTGATGAAAAATAGACCCAGAATATTTTACTCCTTGAAATTGGTGCTACTTTTTCTTTAAATACAGTGAAAACTCGTTAACTCGAATCCTGATAAGTCGAAATTCCGCTTATCTCAAAGTTCAAAGCTTGGTCCCGGCGGAACCCCGTAG